TTCCTAGTTCCGACAATTATTTCGTCGAAAATTGAGACTTACCGAAACTCAAATAATCGAAGTTTTAGTATATATTCATTGCATGGCAATTAAGTAATCATATATTATTAAAAGAATAGGTTACAGTGCTTGCACTGATGCAATTTTCTGCCTTAATGCAACTACAACAGGCAATGAAGGACAAGACTTGAAGACGGAAGGGTGACAATCGCAAGGAGACAAATCTGAAGAATGCGCGGGATAACTAAGTACACATGCTTATTTTGAGGATAAAGCGGTTCTTCGACGTGGTCATTGATACTGGTGGGACAATTCATTATCAGTTTCCGATTGAACATCATTAAGATTAATTATCGACAGTTTAATTTCAGCTATTTAAATCAGCTATTCAGCTAAATATTTAAAATTTCAGCATTGTTTTGGCATCTCAGTTTGTAAGATAAACCTAATTTCACTTGATCTAAACACCCGTTTAATCTTCCGAGGTATATAATGCATGAAGACAATTGTCCCGTCATTAGTTTAGATTTCAAGAATAACAAAACTTAAAACCTTTTATTTTTGTTCTTGATAAAATAATAACATTTTAAATTAATGTTAAATAGTAAATTAGAGAATAATAACCGGGCTCCTAAGTTAAATACCAGTGGCCGAGCGATTAAATACTGCTGAATACTGGTAATTTGTCCCGGAGTTCAACTCAGCCGATCGAGATGGCTGCTTTCGTAATTTTCCAATGTGCAACCTGAATACGAGCCACTTTTCGTTACACATGTCTTCCATGAAGAATTCCTCGTCTTAGGCGGATAGCCTCCATGTGCTGTGCCATATTTAAATAGCCAATCAACTTAATATATGCGGATTTTTAACGCACATTTTTAAACTAAAAAAAGGCAAACACTCAGAGAAAATCAGTGTAGTTATTCAGTCGGAAGGCATATAAATACAACGCCAGTGGTTAAATTGCCAGTAATCTCTTACTGATCTTAGATTGTCATTCGTTAGTTAAAATCACTTTATTTCTACTTTTGACGAAAAGAATATAAGTGCAGGTACTAAAACTTTGATTTATGTAGAATTAGCAATATGACCGCAGAGAAAGAAAACTTTTTAAATTTTTGAAACTATTTTACAAGAAATATTTTTATAAATTCTAATATAACAGAAAAATGTAAGAGCAATAATAATAATGTTCAAATAAATGTACAATAATCATCATTTATTATATTACTCATGATTAGATTTCAGATCTTGAGAGATCACAATTTGACTTTTAAAAGTGTGTTTATTTCTAATCCTATGTTTGCATAAAAATATATTTTGCTTTGAAAAATGGATCGTTGGTGATAATATTAAAGGGCATTTTCAAACGTAAACAACAGTTTGTTTAAGAAATTTATTATGCATTTAATAGCATGAAATATCGTTGGACATAAAAACATCATTTTTATTTGTTGATTTTACTTCTGTTTTTATTTCTAAAAAAATTAGAAAAGGGAAGATGAATAATTGAATGAGGTTACCTATATTAAAACAGTTTAATTAATTATAAAATTTTTAACTTATTTTCTTTTACCTTGGTTAATTTGATATACACTTTTAGTAAAAATAAAGACTTGTTTTGTCTCAGTTCATTTTTTTAAAAGGTTCATTAACATTTTTATGTACACCCTCATTTGGATGTTGATTCGTTAGTTATGATGAAACATGTCAGGAAGAAGCTACACATAGAAAAGAAGTTAAAATTTTTTTATTCGAGTAAATTTTGCCGCTGGTAAACATTTTTGTAGTAGAAGACAGCATGTTTTAGTTATAATATTATTTTTGTATTATTTGACGTACTCCGAAGTATATAATACATGCACGATGCACAATTTTAAAATTTGTGAATAAATTTCCTTGAACATAAAATGAAGCTAAGTAAAACAGCAGAGGATAATATGATGAAGCAAAAGTATTTGCGCTTATGAAATGAAAAAACATTTAATTAACATTCGTTATAAATTAAAACAATAAGCATTATTAATAAAAATCAGAAAAAAAGATATTAAAAGTGGAAAATGCCCAGTAAAGTTTATTTTAAAATTAAAGGTTCAAAATAACTGTCGAAATTCATTTAAGATTTAAATGAGGTGCATAAACCATATCTGGCGTTATTACCACTTATAAAACATAAGTCAAATTTCAGAATCCGCCAGTATACGAGTAGTAATTCTACTTTTGAGAAATTCAAAATTTACCCAAATAGTTTAACACTTAATAAAACGAATACGAATCAAGATACTACTGAATTCCTAGACCTGCAAATTATTAAACACAACAAAATTAAATTGTTTGATAAAAGAAGGAATTTCTATTTTCCTACTATTAAACTAATTAATTGGAACTCTAATATCTCTAGAAAAGTAATAGAAAACACGTTTCATAGCCAAATTATCAGAATAAAAAATATATGTACTGAAAATGATGATTTAAAGGAAGAAATCATAAAACTAATTAATATACAAGTTGATAACCAAGTACCACCAAAATTTATTAATTTATATATTAAAAAGGCAGGCCTTGACTTTACTTTATAATTTTTGGCTCTTTTGGATATGATAACATTACCTACTTAAACCTTAACTGGAGGGTAATGAAGGATATAAAAGAGTAGAAGAAATTATTGTAAATTTTTATTGTAAATATTTTGTAAATATGTATATTTAATCAATACTGGATTCTTTCCTTTTACTAATAAGGCCAACTCTTTTCAAAAGTCTCAATTATAGCCCGAATTGAGTGAAGATTTTAATCTTCTTCTTCTAAATTTTCCATACTTTAGCCAGTAGTATTTAGTTACGTTTTTGATATACCAATTAAATCAAGTTCATTAAACTTTTAATATATTCTTTCATCAAATTTAAGTTTTATTTAACTTCCTAAAGGAATTTTTGAGAAATTTCTGGGAATTTTTTAGAGATTTTTTTAAGGACTTCATTTCAAAAAAATTTTGGGAAATTTTTACTTTTCCATTTTTTCTTAATTACTTTAATTTTTTTGCAATTTTCACACAAAATATCTTTCACTTAATTTTTTTAACAATTTTCACAATTTTTTCAACAGAACACCACATTTCAAATTACAAACAGTTTACATTTTTTTCACATACCACTTCACTTTAATTTCCTTCAAGCAAACATACATCTCTTGATTGGCTCAGTTACTTAACTCCCTAAATAATTGATATTACTACCTTTAGGATTTTTAATTTAATTTAATTTAATTAATATTAATATTTACAAAAATTTTTTTACTATAACAAAGATAGCAGCTTGACACTCAACTTTACCTACATAAGCGCCATCTATATAATTTGAAGAACACACTTACTTCTCTTTCACAACACTTTTGCAGACCCCAACACTCATATAGTAGGTAAGTTAGAATTAAAACTTACTATTTACTTGCTTTAAGTATTTTTTTTTAAAATTTTTTATGTAGTATCTAAGTATTTTCTAAATATGAAATTATATTTAAATATATATTTATTTTAAAAATTGTGAATTAGTTTCTTTTGTTTCTTTTTGTTTTTTTTTTTCTTATTGGTTTTATGGATTATGTATAGTTTCTTTTATAGTTTCTTTTTATTGATATGCATATTCGTGTAGGGGAAGTTTCTGTAGACAAGGATTTCTAAAATACATTGGTTTCTAGATTTTTTTTATTTTTATAAAAAATTAATTTTTAAAAATTTAATTTTTTTTAAAAGTTTAATTCTTGACTTTACTTGCTTGTTTCTCAAAAGACTTAATTAGTATTTTCCTTTTTGAACTTTAATTCTTAAATGTTAATACTTAAATGTTAAATTCTAAGGGTACCACTTTATTGGAATTACTTTTGGTTTTGACTTTTACCCTTGGCTGCATGAATGACGAAACACGAATTGAATGATTGGAGAGTTAGGTTTGGAGGCAACTTCCCCTTGATAAGTCTGTCTCCTGCCTACTCTACGATCATTCACATATGCATTTAAAAAAAAAATTGTTAATTTAATTTTAATTTATTAAATTAGTAGATTTATTTTCATGGATAGATTTTGCACTTGACTTGATTTGCTTATGCTTCTGAATTTAAATGATATTGTAGATTAGTTCGAGAATTAAATCTTTTACATGTTTGCATATTTTTAAATTATTTTAAATTATTTTGGCTTTTTTCTTTTTTTAGAATTTAAATTTGCTTTTTTTACTTTTTTTACTTTTATACGTATTTGTTAAGAATTTAAATTTGTTTAAATTTAAACTTTATATATATATATATATATATATATGTTTTATAAAATTATCTTTTGGAAAAAAAATTCTGGCATTTTTAGCTTCTGTCTTTTATATACGTATAAAGAGCAAGCACACTAGACTCACACACATATCATTCAATATATATATATTGAATGATCTAAAATTCATTGAATTCGAAAACAAGTTTTTCTAATACCTGCGCAATAGCTGCAAAGTAAGATAATAATAATTTATTTACTAAAGAAATATTGATTATATTATCTCCTAGTATTTAGTAGAATGTATCAAAAAGAGGGAACCCATACGTAGGAAGTTTAATTCCGAAAATTGTGTTTTAAAGGAACATATATATAGTTTTTTTTAATTAAAGCCTTTGATCTTAATTAATTCAATGATTTTAATCAAATTCCCTTTTTGAACTAATAGGTGAATAACTGCGCTATTTTAGACACATTATTCATCGAAAAAGACTGGAAAAATTAACTTTCTTTTTCTTTTAAAAAATACCGGATTGGAGTATTTACATGCAGTGTAAAGCGTATTTACATGTAGTTAATTTCCAGCATAATATCTATAACCACAGTATATCAGGCAGCATTGTAGCGGATTGCTGTCTGCATCTATACCCTAATGCTCTTAAAATGCAAATAATATGACAGAGACACGTACACTCCCCAAAACAACAACAACAACAACAACAACAAAACAAAAAAAACTTACTTGTTAAAGTACTACTGTTTCCCAACGCATTACCGGTAATAAGGTACGGGAAGCATTGCATCCTGGGTCCTGATGAAAAATTCACCGTATTGCTAAAACCGGGGCAGATACTGACAAACTGTCTTTGAGGATGCGTAAAGAAAGATTCATTTGTTTTTTGGCACAAACTGAATTTGTTGAAAAAATTCAGATTTTCATGACAACAGCAACTCGACGTCTTCAAATCGACTACCTCTGACTTCACTTTACTGTCTTCTTGTTTCTGCAAAACTAAATCTTTGGTATGTAGGCTCATATTCTTTAAATCTGGCAACCACGACAGTGACGGATGTCTTCCAAACATCCAAGTATTCTGATTGTTCTTGCAGGACATGTCGGTGATTGAACATCTTTCAAGTTGATTATTTAAACATATATTATCGAGACACATATCTTGAACAGACTTCGATAATTTAGAATCTGATGATGAGAGGAGTGAAGACACAGAGAATGGAAAAGCTCTTTGGTGTTTTGTCTTTTTGTTATCCATTGCTTCAACAGCACTTGAGCAACATAGCTCCATCTTGAAGGTACAAGTTGGTGGTGCAAAAGACTAATTCATGAAAATTTATGATAGTCAACTATAAAAGTTTGACTCTAAACAATATAAAGGTCTACTTGTCCTTTTGTAACATTCATTACCAAAGATTCAAATCAGAGACAACATCCTATAAAAAGCGCACGAGACTGTTCAACGGATGATTTACGAAAATGTGCTAATTTTGCCCTCTTTTTTTTGCACGTACTGTAATGAGCACACACGTGCTCTTGAATTAGAATAGTCCCGCAGAAAAGACACGACTTAATTTCTTCATTCTTCAGTACTTCATAGTTATTCACATATTTCATCAGTAAAAAAATAATGATTCAGATTTTGTGACACAATGTCATGTAATCTCATGATGTTAAACGATTAAAAGAGTGTAACTATCAGTTGTTGCGTGACAAGAACGTTTAAAAGGATAAGCTGATATTTCGGAAACTTGTCAGCGTGAAATCAACGAAGGCGTTCCGGGGACAGAAGTGGGGGTTTCTCATTTGCTGAATAGAGACATGACGTCACTCCAAAGGCGGGAGACAGATGAATTTCACCTTTCGCACCTGCGCACATTCCATGAACGCCGTTAGATGAGAGCAGTTTCCACGATTGGCGACTAGAACTTCCTTTAGGCGAGATGATGTTTCATTTGTAAAAGGAAAAGTAAATGTGAAGAAAATGAGTGCTCAATTGTAGTACTTTCATACCCTTTACTTTTCCTAAATATGCACTCTACACAGAAGAGGAATCGTTAATTAATAAGGACAGTGAATATTTTAAATACCCAGTCCCCGAATTTACAAGTAATCATTCATTGATAGTGGTGTTTCCTAATCAATTATTTGCTTTTGCTTCGCTATCCAAATGATATGTATATTTTATAAAGTAAAGTGAGCAATTTTATGAGAGTTTATGTAGCAATATGCTAAACGCGAGAACTCTGTGTCAAGGAGATGGTTGCCAGTTAGTTTCTGGCGAAACTGTACGATGTTTAGCGGAGACTTAACTACTAATTTTCTAGTCGCTGGGGCGGAAACCCGAATAGGGGCGTTTGTGACTGTAGAATCTTTGCTGTACGAGGATACTCAAAAATCTGTCAGCCCAAAAGTCCTATAGAATGATTTGCTGAAGAAAAAAATGATTGCAAGATTCTAGGATTTCATGCCCCGAAACGGTTTATTTATTGTTATTATTATTATTTTTAAAATCAAACTTCGGATGGAACTTGAGCAGATATTTGTATACGCTTCGCAAGTTTAGTAATCTAATCCACCCGCAGTTCTGTATCAGGGATGATTTTAAGTATCGATGTAATATATTGATAGGCTATCTTCAACTAATATTAGCACTATATCAAAATATTATACCGAAAGTGAATAAATTACTGAAAATGGAAGCATTAAAAAATCAGTAAATCATAAAAGAGTACTTAATAATAAGCTCCAAGTGAGTTTTGGACTATTCTAATGGAATACCAGTAATTGTTAATATTGGTAGTACAGAAAGCTGCTAATACTGCACGTAAACTGTTGACATTGTAACTATTTTCAAGAGGATTTCTAAAACTAGAAACTTAATGTTTCTTTATGGGATCTTCATAGTTTTTAATTGTGTGTGTTTGTAAAACTTTTTATTGATCGTATGTTTAAACTCTAGTATTATGGACATTCTGCTTTTGTTAAACCCATCTTCTGAAGTATTTATTGTGTTAGTTTCAAATTGTTTCATTATCAGTATTGGTATTGCTTCATTATCAGCCTTGGCAAGATAAAATATATTGCCACTCAAGAGAAATACTTGTTGCAACACTTGTGCAAAGCGATGCCCTGAAATAAATACTTATTTACATTTCCAATAAGTAATACTTATTTACATTTCCAATAAGTAATACTTATTTACATTTCCAATAAGTATACTTATTACATTTCCCATAAGTAATACTTATTTACATTTCCAATAAGTAATACTTATTTACATTTCCAATAAGTAATACTTATTTACATTTCCAATAAGTAATACTTATTTACATTTCCAATAAGTAATACTTATTTACATTTCCAATAAGTAATACTTATTTACATTTCCAATAAGTAATACTTATTTACATTTCCAATAAGTAAGCTTTTATCAACAATTGCATTAAATAAACTTAAATTTTCAAGTCGTATTAATTTATGACAAAATACCACAAGTTTTTTTCATATTATTTGGAGTCTAACAACGGCCGAGCGGTAAAGTCGCTGAACACTGGTAGTTCGTTCCGGGTTTCCAATCTTTGCGAACGGACTGGCTGCATGGGCGCCTTCGTAGTTTTTCTCATACGTAACGTGTATACTAGCTAGCTCTTTTAGAAAGCCCTACACGGAGGCATCCCTTCCCTTAGGCTCTCGAGTGCTTTGCTGTAATTAAATAAACCAAACCAAACTCTTTTGAAGAGAACTTTTAAACGTACGATTTTCGGTTCTATATCTTGAATTTTTAGGAGATTAACTTTTAAATTAGTTTCAATTGTTTAATTTGAGAAATCGTTTCAGGCATTAAACTAAAATCAATATACGAAGGAAAGATTGTAATTTTGTTGTTTATATTTTTAATTTGCAGATACTTTTCCTTGAATTTATTTGAAATTTTGTCAGTTATTTCAAGGTGTTAAATTGTAATCTGGAATTTTTAGATTGCATTTTTTTTTTTCAATTACAAATTTATATCATTCCTTTATATGATTTAAGTGAAAATATGCATTTATCTACGAAGTGTTTTTAGAACTGAAGTTATACAAAAACGAAAGTTGAAGAAAACAATGGTCTTCAGAGTTTATTTCTTGTAAGTTTATACAATGTCTATACAGCTATTTGATTTTTCCTTTTGGATTACCGTTTTAGTTACAGTTTCCTGAATCTTTTCAGTGCATTTTAAATTACACATTTGAATTTAGAGTTCACTAAATTAGAGAATTTAGAATTAGGTACGAGAAAATAGTCTGCAGCTGAAAAATATGGTGAGGAAAGCAGGGTGGTTAAGAACTGGGATAATTTCCTTTGCTAGAAATTGCTCGACGAGAATGGAATTGTGCAACGGCGCATTATCGTACAACAGAAACCAGTTATTCAATTGAACCTTGTACGTATCTTTCTCACATTCTGATAAAACAACGGTGCGTAGAGCCATCGAATTTTTACTAACGTAATCTTCCACCTAATACGACCATCTGGAAACCCTAACTTGGAATTTGGAATATGTTTTTTTATCGATTTAATATTTTGTCAGACATTAAAGAATTTTTTGTTAACAAACTCAACGATTTCAAAGCCAGGAATGGTAACACTGTACGAAAAAAAAAAAAAAAAAAAAAAAAAAAAAAAGCAGTATATTCCCATAGAATTCTTCTCCTCTTTCTCATTCAAGATCAGAGAGAAAAAATAAGAAAAGGAAAAAAGATATTCAAATTGAAAATTTCTAGTTAGAAAAATTTATCATTAAAAACAAAAATATATAAAATTATGAAAAAATTTAAAAATATGAAGAATCATATATATTAAAATATGAAAATTAATATCATTTAAAATATGACATCATCATAATATAAATCATAATCATACAAATTGTCATAAATGTTTCTCATTTCTTCTTAAAAAGAAAAATAATGCCTAGTGTTGTTAATTTATAAAACTTTTACATAACATTAAAATTGAACTTCAATTTTAAAAGTTATGTACGTTTGTTTCTGCATTCCTTTTTGAACATAAAATGATATAAACAGAAAAATATAAAGTTATCAAAAAAGTATACAGTTTAAACGACATGCTATATATTTTTTCTTCGCCATATTTGTTTACTATAAAACTTCATTAAACAGTTCATTCTGTTTATTCAGTTTAACAGCGTACCTCATCATAAGTAAAAAAATGTTATTTATCGTTGATTCGCAACAAAATCTATTTATGCCGAATAAAATTTTATTAAAACTGTAAAGAATAACACTTCCAAGAAGAGTTAAAAGGATTTTAATTCAGATAAATCATACTTAGAAAAAAAAATCTTCGTTTTTTTAAGGTGTCGATATGGAACTATTTTTCTTAATTTTGTAAGCTAAGTTCCGATAGTTGTCGCCCAGTCTGAATTTTACACACAGCAAGTTGAATTTATTTCTATGAAATTTTGCACTTTTTCATCTTTTCCTCCTAAGTCGCGCTTTCGAGACATGAAAAACGCAATTTGAATTTTGTCAATCGGCCCAGTAGAACGAGAGATAAAGAACTGACTTTTTTTTTTTTTTTAAATTTATTATTATTATTTTTTTATTTTTTATTTTAGCAGTGTACGTTTTTCGTATTGTGATAAAATGACAGTACTTAGAGCCATCAAGTTTTAAATAGCGTGCGTTACCATCCGAATATGGGCACCTGGAAGCCCTAATTTGGAATTTGGTTTATTATTTATTTCGTATTTTGTAAAACTTTAACGAATTTTTGATTAACAAACTCATCGATTTCAAAGCGAGCAATGGCATTACTGTACGGGGAAAAAATTTATCTCCGACGCTTGAGACTATGTATCGGAAATTCTAAAAATATGCTCATTTAAAAATTATTTTGAGATACTGCTGTTCAATTTAATTTTATGGTTTAAGAGCAAAGAACATGATATTTGATAAAGGTAACCCACAAAACGTTAAATAAAGCCTCTTTGGGCGTAATTTGTAAAATCCGAAAGCTTTCAGATTTTTTTTCTTACTTTTGTATTTCGCGCGCAGAAATATGCGTATTTCTTTAACGTGCACTAATGTTTATTCTATTGATTGCTTTCAGGTTAAAGTTATATTGTGGAAGGATTTTATTCAAATTATTTCAGCTGTTCTCCCTCCCATCTCTTGATGTTAACGAATTAATAATTAGTTCGATATCCTTGATCTGTATACTAAATAATGATTGGAGCAAGTAATATTAAAAAAAAATAAGTCAATTTCTAGTTAGATCAACAAAGAAAATTTTTTATTTTATTTACTTTTTATTAACATTATTAACATTTTTTCTTTTCTAATTAATGAAGCTGATGGTGGTCTACAATTTCTCAATCTATCCATCTCTAGTTATTCTTCATTACTGCAAGGAACCTTTCCAGTGAGTTTCGAGCAGTCCAGCTATTCAATTAATATTACATATTAATTTAAACGTTTATGTTTGAGGATAATTTAATAATGCCCTTATTAATTTAAACGCTTATGTTTTTCTTTACGTTTTTCGCTTGCGTTGTGTTGTATTTTCTTTTCGCATTCTCCGTTTGTGAAGCAAGAGACATTTTAATGGGTTATATTTTAAACATATTATTATCACGTTAACATAGAAATATGGGGAGAATTTTCGCTACATATTGGGACATTACATCCGCT